ATCATTGTTTTCCCAGGTTATTTATTCAAAATAAACATGCTTGTTTCGTAGTGAAAAAGTGCTATGCTTTTGATGCTTTTCCTTCACGTTAAACTGGTTTCAGTTTGCTTCCAAATCAAGTCTGTGGCACTCTGATTTTGTAAGTGCATTTGTCCCTCAGCTCTCGAATGGGCTTGCGGAAACCACTTTGCTTTATAGAAACCATGATGGTGATAATTGAATTAAACAGTAATGTTCCTTACAGCTAAAAGCCACATTCTCGATACCTTTCCTTTCTTTGTTTATATATATAGACTCCCTCATTTAAGAGTATTCTTGAAATTAATGGTGTGTTTCTAGTAAAATAATGGCTAACTACCTTGAGGACTGAGGACCTCCTACCTGATGGTTTCTGACCTCGTGTAACACAGTATTCCCGGCAGGGTAGGCAGGGAGGCATCTCATACGTGATTCTCAAGGGAACTCTCTAGAGGGCTACTGTGTGAATGAGGGCATGGGGGTGTCTCAGAAACATAAAGTCAACACAGTTGGCCCCATTTGGAAGCAGTTAGTCCTTTGACAGTTGATCTTATTTATTTTTTTTTTCTGTATGGTATTCACATCAGTTCTATGATACCACATGTGTTTTTCAAAAAGAAACGGAAGAAGAGGGACTGAGTGTATTCCATACACATTAAGGAACAGAATGTTGTAAGGAGTAGGTTTTTCCTCCCACCGCCGGTCTTGTCCCGCTACCGTGCCAGCCACAAATAACACACAGGGATCTGTATTTGATATAACGCTGTTGGCCGGTGACTTGTTTCTTATCGGCTAGCTCTGTCTTAAGTATTAGCCCATTTCTGTTAATCTAAGTATTTCCACTGCCCTTACCGGGGAGTGGGGCAGGCGTCTGGTCTCTCCAGTCTCTCCATGCTGAATGTCCTACACTTGTGGACCTTCGCAGTTTCCCGTGCTGTGTGTACTCAGCTGACTGCTGAATTTTTAGTACTGATGCTGCTAGAATGAGGTGAAAAACACCTTGACAATATGAACCACGGGCTGTGACAATCATTGAGAAAGCACAGAGAGGGCACAGGTGGATTTTTAAAAACTATTTTAATACAAGATTAATAGCAATTTTCTATCCAAATCAGAAATGAAAAAAGTCTTAACCCAAATAATAGTCATCTGACAGTCACATAAGATTTTAGGTTTGATTGGTGCACACATTTATCCTGCACACGTGTTCTGAATAACGCTCACGGAGACTGCGCTGTGGTGTCTTCATCAGATGTTGCTCATGAAGTCCCTCATTACTAGGCAATGCCAAAGACTCCGGCAGCAGCCACGCCTCTCCCAGCAAAGTCCCAAGCATTCCACGCTAAGCTGAGTCTGGGCTGTAGCAGATCACGACACAGCAAGTCTCCAGAATGCGTACAAATCAGTACTCTATTTGTGTAAGTTGGCCGAAAACTAAGCACTGGCTGACATCTCTACCAAGGAGGAACACACTGTGGATTTAGAAGATATGGATTTCTTTCCTCTTCTGGTTGCAAGGCTACATTGTTTTAAATTTAAATATGCTAGTGAGTGCTAGTAAATCAAATAAAATGAGCTTGGGTATCGGCAAGTGTTTGGAGAAGTCAAGTACTGCACCCGTTAGCACTGGAAACCTAACGTCACACTACCTGATAGCTAGCCTTGCAGAAAGAGGCAAGAAAAGAATCACGAGCCAGGGTTTTTTTTTTGTTTGTTTGTTTGTTTTTGTTTTTTTGTTTTTGTTTTTTTTTTTAACCAAGATTTATTCCTCCTTGAGGACTTAAGTTGGTGCTTAGTCTGTAGCCAAAATATGTATGTGATGGCAAGAAGAGTCAAGGAAGGCTAATGTCTGTAGCAGGGAATGTGACTTAAGTCTCATGGTTCTGCATCCGATGATATTTTCAATGTGTTTGACTTAAAAGGATGTGTCTTTTAAAAATTGCTACTTCTCATCAATGAATAGTTTTTTTTTTTCAGTGTAGACAAAAGTAGTTTCTATCCCTTACATTTGGAGCAGGTGATTCATGTCACCTTCCTCCCCGGACAAACCATGGTAAGGGACTTCCAGTGCTACAGTCTGTGAGGGCTGTCATCAAAGTGCCCACACGGCCTTCATTGCAATGACGGAAGGCTGTCTCGTGGCTGCCAATCCAGGACCACGGGGCTCTTATTCACAAATTTACAGCCCATTCTTGTCTGCCGAAGACATTAGCCTCCATTTAGCCTTTGCTGTAACATATACAAAGTATAATAAACATCAATTACAGATGTGTATTTCTGTTAGAAAAATACATATTACAACTAAAGAACATGTAAATAGAGGCACTTCGATAAGCTAAGCGTTTTCAGTTATGAGCACCACCCGCCAATTTCTAGTGTTCAACTTTGGGGTCCCATTCCTCTCTACTCATAACACAAGCTGTGATGTGATCGCAGAATTTAGGGGACATCATCACAAATGAGGGCAGGCCATCAACGGCAATGGAACACAGACTCGTCCCCTATCACGATGCTGGAATGAGAAAATTAATTTGGGAGGAGGAGTCTGCAGTACCAAAAAGAAGTGACTCAATGGAAAGTCTTAGGGATCAGAAAAAAACAAACCATCTTAACATTAAATTAGTCCAAAAACCATGTAATGGATGATGCCATAGACCAACAAGCAGAAGTGAGAAATGTTTTGACCACGTCCATGCAGGGTGACTAATGATGTGACTTCCTAGGCTGATCCTCAATGTAACCCTCTGCCTGGCTCCCAAGCATCGCTACATGTCATCAATAGGAACACCCTTGAGAATACAGGAGCTCAAATGAAGGGAGCAAGCATTTATATATTATCTGTTTGATTAGTGTGCACAGAACATGGGTTCACATTCATTAATGTAATGTGTTGTCATATGCATGCACAGAAACCCATTTGGGGGCAAAAGCACTGTAAAACACTGATTTGTGTTAACAAAGATGATGCAGAACTATTTTTTTTTTAAAAAAGGAGGGAGTTGGAGCTTAACGCATAACACAAGTTATTATTCAAATATTCTAGAGAATCAAAGTTGGTTTAATTCATATTGTACTGTAATTGTTGCAGAAAACAAAAAACAATAGTGATTTCTGAACGTACAATGAGCTAAGTAACATAAATGACTGGTCCTTCGTGGAGATGTGTTAGGTGTAATTGCGATGAGAAGCTGATGGGGGACAGTGAGCTGGACAGTTTTCCAAAAGGATGCAATTCTAGATTTGATTAAGTGTTAACTTCACACAAATGTAAGTGAAAGATGCCACAAAGTCTCTCAGAATCCTACACTTCCTATTTTGTTAGACATAAAGCAGCAACAGATACTTGTAAATATGTCTTGTTTTTTCAAAAGTGCTCAAATATACTTAATACTAGTGCATGTGTTCTATTTAGGCATGATGACTAAATCGATAACTAATTTTAATTTTGATGAGAATAGAGATAGAATCATTTATGTGTCAAAACTGTCAACGAGTCGGTTAAAATGTGATTGGCATGCTGTGGTGTCTGGAAATCTTTCTTCCCCTTATCCTAGATGCATCATAAAAACCAAAACACAAAACAAAACAACACCCCCCACCCACCCAAACCAAAACCACATGGCTAGCCAACTGTCTTTATACTACCCCGGTTTGGTTTACCTTGTTCCTTTCTGCCAGGGGAAGCATTGGACCTGGCTTTGTGGGTAGGATAGGCTGTAGCTGTAAATAGGCCTCTTGAGTTTAGGTCGTTTGCTGTAGTACCCAGCAGGAGTCCTAGGTCACAGATGTTGTACATGAGAGTAACGGGTTTTCATGGATAACATTCTTTACACATACACATTCCATTGCCAGTAATGTCTTGCACACCAGGGCTTGTCCCATGAGCTCAGGACAGTATAGAGCGTCAGGAACAATGCAAACTGTGTGTGAAAAGGGTGTGCCCTGGCAAGCTTGTAACAGATGGACAGTCAGACACACACAAAGTTCTCTTTCTTGATTCTCGTGCTCACAGATCGTTGAGGAGTCCCCTCTCTGAGCCCCACAAAACAAGAAGAGCCGGTTGACAGAACAGGTTTGTTACAAAGGAGTGTCAACCCTGAGCTTGGAATTAAGAAGTTAAAATCTGTGATTTATATATATATATATAGATATAAAAATAGATGATCATACTAAGACTAAAAAAGTGAAAGAAATCTCCATGTCAATACTATATATATATAGTGTTTTCTCTCTCTGTTGTTTTTTTTCTGTCTTGAGTTTTTTTGTTGTTGTGAGTTATTTTGTAAGAGAATGCCCTTGTGATGCTGAAACCAATTGACACAATCAAAGAGTCTACAACAAAACCTCATGTGTGGAGCTAATTGTCATGTCGGTAAGGGAACTCTCATTTGGAGGGGAGTCAGGAACAGAGGGGCTGAGGTGTCTAATTCACGGCAGACTGGTGGAGAAAGTGGAGACTGTACCGATGAAAATGATTTTTAGTCAAGACCTAGGAGGAAGGAGACTTGACGCGGGCATCCGCGAGAAACCGAAGACAACTGGAAACAATGGACAGGTGTCAGGAGACTGAGAAAATGCTGCCTTCAGTGAGTGTGGCAGGTGAAAGAGAGGTGTCCAGTTGCAGTAAGATTACCACTCGCTTAAGACAGAACCCTAAGTTTACTATTAGTACCTCCAAATCAGTGTGGGTAGAGTGCAAGACAATACCTCCAAGACAACAGCGAATTTCCACTACATTAAATAATGCTCCGCTTCCCCCTCATAAGCATTCTGTAAACTTGGCTTGTCACAGAGAAGCTCGCCCCAGGAGTTGGCTGTCATCCCCAAACCTGATAGCATGAGACTTCCTTTTTTGTCTCTTCTCTATTTGCTTCCTTGTTGAAAAGGCAGTTGTCTTGGGGTTTGGCCTGATTTGAAAAGGAAAACTATTTTCTTCCTATCTTATTTTAAGTGGGGTGTTAGAGGAAAAAAAAAAACCCTCACAACATGAAATTCCTTTAATTCTGCAGCATAAAAGCAAACGACGGTAAGAAAAAATCTCTTGGTACGAAAGACTTGAGTAAGAATTCTCTCTGGAATAAACAAGGTCCCCACAGATAGCAGAAGGTAATATGCAGACCCTCTGGCACCCGGTACTCTTTGGGAAAACAAAAAGGGAGGCAGATTGCAAGACTGCTCTCTCGTCATAGAAAACGGTGAGTTTTTGTGGCATGGTCCATTGTCCAAGAATGTAAGAAAAGAAGAGGGTTGGCCACTGAAGAGCTAAAATGCAGTTTCACTTGACCAAAGCCCATGATTATCTGTGGAGTCTCTGTAGGGCCAGAGCCATGCAGATCAGAGACCAGGAGAGCAGGGAGTAGCTGCCCTTCGCCGCTGAAGATTCCTCTTCTCTCCGGTCTGGGTCCACTGCAGGGGCCTCGGTGGTGACAAACTCAAACTCGGTGGGACACACGTCATCCATGCACCCACTGCCACTGCCTGAGCCGCTGGATTCGTCACCTGGTGGGGGCAGATTGACAAGGAAAGTTAGATCACTTAGCTGGGAATAGAGACAAACAGCCATAGTTCACAGCAAAGGGTTGATCATCTGCCTGTAGGCTTGTGCTTCATGGGCTGGTTAACGATGGGTCAGAAACATGGCTGAAACACAGTATTCGTGGGTACCCACCCAGAGCAAACTTGTAATGGGCGGCCTCTCGATAACACTGATCTTAAGACACTTCTTCTGACCAGTACTTAAATGATTAGGAAACTTTGTTTCTGGAGCTGGCGTCGAGGCATAATGTCTAACAGCATTATCCTTTTTACAGAGGTCCTCGGTTCATTGCCAAGGATCAGCATCAGGCAGCTCACAGCCACCTGTAACTCTGTTCCTGGAGATCTGATACCCTCTTCTGGCTCTCCCAGCTTCCACATACATGGAGCCAATAAACTCACACACACACACACACACACACACACACACACACACACACACACACACGAACACAATTAAATATATACACCTATATAAATACATCTACCTACTACCTATTTACCAATCATCTATCATCTATCTCTCATCTATGTATCTATCATCTATCTATAAATCCCTATCATCTAACAGTCATCTATCTATAGTCAATAATTTATCTATCATCCATCTATCTATCCTAAAGAAGCAGTTCTGTTCTCAGATACTCTGTATTTCAACACTGCTACTCTAAGCAGGAATCGTGTTTTTTTAAAGGTACTTTTTGTTTCTTCTTTGTTTTTGGAGTCCAAGCTGAAGCTCATGCTCCTCTTCCTGGATCTGCCTCTGGAGTGCTGGGATTAAAGGCGTGTGTGTCACTTTAACCTTCTAAGAAGACTTCTGAGAGGCCACTTAAGGCAAAACAGAGACTGAAAGCAAGCGGCACAGTAAACTGCAGAAACAGCAGCCGAGAGCTGCAGAAGGTAGACGTCGTTACTGTGCTGGACTTCTCCTCTACCCCAACTCCCATATTCTTGCCCTAACAGCCAAGATGTATCCTTTTGAACAAGCCTCTCTAAGCCACGAGCGGGTGAGCTCTTTCCATGTGTCCCCAAATGTAAGACACTTGCTACATTTTCTAATGTTTGCAATAACCAAAGGGGGAGGGGAGGCTATCGTGAGGACCTCAAGAGGTCTACCTGTGAAGTTCAGGCTGATGGTTTGATTGTAAGGCAGGTACAGCTGCTCACCACAGTGGCTTACGGCTACTTCCGTATTCCCAGGGCACAGCAGAGTGGCTGCCACTGAGTGTGTAACCCTGAAGCCTAACGTGTTTATTATCTATTCTTTTACGGAACACGTTCCCTGTCCCTGCTTGATTCAGTGCCTACACCTTCTGCAGTCTGAGGGTGCCATCTTCCCCTTCTTCCCATCCTGCCTCTGGGCTTCCTTAACTTTCACCTTTTATTGTTTGGTTCCCCCACGTTTTAACGACATCGTCAACCAACTATGGATTAAAAATAATTCCAGGAAGTTTCAAGAAGCAACGTGAACTTGCCAGATGCCGAGTTAAACCCATGTGAATAGCATGATGTCTGAAGAGACCCTGGTAAAGCTTCCTGCTGTATCATGGCTCCCAGCCTCTCCCTAGCACTATGTACCGTGTAGTTCTACAACAAACCTATCTATGTCAAACACGTTTGCATTTTTCTTGCCATTATTCCCTGAAAACTACAGCATAACAATTATTTACATAGGACATTGTATTAGGTGTTATCAGTAACCCACAGATTATTTTAAGCGTATCAGGGAATGTGTTTAGGCCATGTGAAAATGCCAAGTCATTTTATGTGAAGGTGAAGAATTTTGAGCAACTCTGGCTTTGGGCGTCAGCAGAAGGTCTAAGCCAACCCCTGTCACTGTGCCTGCACCTGCTACCTGCAAGTGCTTCCTAATACCTGGGTTTCTACTATTTAATGGCTTGTTTGATTGTTCACTGTCCCATACTCTACCAGAATGTAGACTTTTTGAGGGTACAGGCTTTGAGAGACCATTCACTTCCCAGTGGCCATGATCTCCGACATGAAACAGATGCTCAATAAATCCTTGTTGAATAAGTCAATGTGTCTTGAGCAATTAATTCAATTTCTATCAGTTTCTATATCTAAGCACAGGCAATTGATAACAGGCTGCTGAAAAGGCAATTTGACAAAATGTAGAGGCAAACTCATGGATGCCAATGAAACCAGATGGAAAAGATTTGTTTCCTCCAGGGAACGTGGCCTAACACTTAAGCTACCATTATAAATTTAGATGGACAGGAGCGGCCAGCTTCAACAAACATCTTTCTCCTTGCCTGTAAAACTAAAATTAATAACGTCTATTTCCCAGAACTGTTATGGGGATAAACGAGACATTTCTGGAGAGACTCAGGAAACGGTAATCTCTGTAATGAGGTTACACTCATTTGCTCAGTGAGTTTAGCTAACACTCCTAAACTCCTGCCCTGCTATTGGGCGCCACTGCTCCTGAGACATGGGCGCCATTTTGGATTCAGATGCAACTTAAAATGTCAAGCCAAGTCAGTGTAGGGACTCTTCTATTGTTCTCCTGAGTGAAGACGGGACACTCAGCACTGTTCTCCCCCACTAAATGGGACATCTAAATATCAGATAAGATCATCGGAATACATTATACTTGTTTCTTATCATTTCTCTGCCTTATCGTTATTGATCTTTACAAGGAGAAAAAATGCTTATTAATTACATTCAGAGGTATCAGAGTCGCAAAGGGAATTGTTCTGAACACTGGTATCATGAGCAAGCAGTAATATAACCTGTATAAAGATAGTGTTAAAGCGACTTGAAATATTAACAACGTGGGAAGCAAAGAATGGCAAGTGGGTCTGGCTGTGAGAAACAATGGCCCCAGTCTTCTTGAAAGGAAATCCCAAATGCAGGTGTTACGGTGGTAGAATGGGCAACTTAAAAAATGGCTATGAGCGATACACTCCTAAGACAGGATAGGTACTGTTTTAAATAGCTACAGTGGGTGCCTGAGTCAGAGCCAAGGGAGTATCTTCACAGTCCTTCAAGGTTTTTGTTTTCCTGTGAGAAGAAACTGTGGAAAATCACTGCCTCCTCAACATTCCTTGAGTTCTACAGAATGACGTCTACTTAGGCCAGATAAGAAACACCGCAACAAGGCCAAGACGAGATAATTCTTACATAGCTTCATCCCTCATCTAATAGTTAACTCTCCCGGTAAAACAGCGCATTAATACGTGGAGAAGATAGGATGGACAGGATGGGAAACATGAGGCTAAGTGATGGAGAAGCCGTGAAGGCTAAAAGCTGGTGTAGCATTCCCTTCCGGAGAAGAAGAGAGGTCTAGACAAAGCAAACAGAGATAACAGCATGATTCTGAGGAATCTGATAGCAATGAAATCCTTTGTGTGGTAATTGCCCTGTGCAGAGAAAATACATTCTTGAGTTCTTTAAAATGGAAGAAAGCACTTGCAAGCATTCTGCAGGGAACAGCTCAGTAGGAAGGCGAGGAGCTGAGATGACTTCCATCTGTAACTTGTGCCTTTCTAACTCATTAAGCAAATACACGTGCATCTTCGGCTTCAGCGAGCAACCTAAGGATCGTTGGCAGCTTTACAACCGATGCTCAAGAATGTTTTCCTCCCGTGCATTCTCTTAGGTTGCACACTTAAGAGAAAACCAACGTACCTGAGAAGAAATCCCACAGGGCCTTTGACTCTGCTGCTATGAATCTTGAAGCCACTTAGACAAAACCCAAATATACTTAGCTTCACTTCAGAGTTCACTTATGAGAGCCCATGAAATCACTTCAAATGCTTTTACAATCCCCACAGAAACAGTCATGCGCAATATTACTTCAGCAGTTTAATATTTCTCTAATAGTTCAGATATAAATGCTTATGGTTTGTGTCTGTGTACAACTGAGTAGGGAGGGAAATAACTCATTGAACCTGCTTACCACCCTCAAGACACTGTCTTAGCTCTTTACTAAGTCACCTCTGTGTAGCCTCCAAGAGGTCCCCAGCTGGAACCTCTTGCCATTATTTGTTCCTCACAGTTTTAGTATCCTGAGACATTTAGTAATGCCCTCGTAACGGAGGAATGTGAGTCTCAAGAAGTACAGATTCTCCTCTACTTACTGTGAAGGCATATCCCAAATAAACACACTGATTTTAAAATATTACAACTTTGAACAAATTGAAAATATACAACTTACATAGCATCCTGGCCTAACACAGCACCCACAGAATGTCATTGTTCTTGGGACTCCCTGGGGTCTGTCCAGAATCATGAGGGAATACCATATCACATAATGGTAACTGAAGAAAAGATCCAAATTCACACTCTGAAGTGCAACTTGTATTGCATGTGTGTGAACCATCATGTTTACATTGTGAGAGACAAGATGGGGACTCAAGCCCAGCTTGTCAAGAAATCTGTAGAAGATTCTTTAGGTGGTTGGTAGGGAAGGCAGGCAGGAGTTTGGAGTAGATATAAATGCTATTATAGAAAAGGCAAGGTGAAAACAGCCACTTTGTTATAAATGGATCAACCGGTAGATGAAATTATGTTTTTGCTTTCACATGTCTCAATATTTCACCCGAAGCTGGGATGATAGCTTAGTGAGTAAACTACTTGCTGTGTAAACATGAGAATATGAGTTTGATCCTCAGCTCTTACCAAAACAGCCAAGTGTGGCGGTGTGTACCTGAAATCCCAGCACTGGACAGGTACAGACAGGAGAATGCCTGGGCTCACAGCCTAGCTGAATGGGTGAGCTCTGGGTCTCCTTAAAAAATCCTGTCTCTAAAAATAAAGCCGATAACTTCTGAGAGGGAATAACATTCAAGGCTGACCCTTGCTTGACGAACGTACCCAAACAGGTATGAACGCAAGCACGCGTGCGTGTACACACACACACACACACACACACACACACACACACACACACACACAGGTACACAGCCATTCATTAAGTGGAATTATGACTTTAGTTAGCATGCAAGTTTTGTGGCTCAGACTGGAAAAGCTTCATGATTAAGAACAAGTGTGATGTAATCACAGATTATCCGTTGAGAGTGCAATCCCACTCAACCATTTTCCACTGTGGCGGTGCCGAGGCCCTTACTTGTGTCTTGGAAGTTGACATCATTGCCGTTGTATGCATTCTTCAGTTTGTTGGTCATCACCCGGAGAGCCATGATCTGTTGTCTGATGAACGTGTCGGGCCGGGTGATGTCCACCTCTACCTCGGGATTGTTGATTTGGTTGGTCAGCCCATCATTCATGATCTCAGGCAAATATCTGCAAGGTAGAGGAAGCCATGGGTCAAGTGATGCTGCAGTGACCTCAGACCCAAACACTGTCCTGCCAGCTCAGCCAGGACGCCAAATCACCTGGTGAAGACCGGAGAGAATGAGCAGAATGATAAAAGTACATCCTGAGAGAGCGCAGTTCGGGCTAGAAGGCCTTCAGATTCATGTTTAAGTGCAATGGGTCCTTACATGGGTTCATCTATAAAAACGCGCTAAATTGGGGACTAGGATAAATAATTCAAATTAAGTACCCTTTCCCTCCCTGGTTTTGCCGGGTTTTGTACTAAAAACTGGGTTAGGAGTGGCATATGAGCAGGTGTGGTCCTTAGCAAAGGAGGTCACTCTTTCTTCGTGGAGGAGGATTTTAACACAAAGATTCTTCTGGGTGTTAAGAAAAAGTCTTTGGGATGTTTTAGGAGGAGCCAGTGATGGCTTATGCCTATATGTCCAGTAGTGTTTTTATTTGCTATTTTGGTGGTGCTGGGAATTGAACCAGGGTCCTTATCACAGGCTTTTAATTTTTTAATATCAGCTTGGATCTAATATGACAGGTGTGTCAACATTCAGTAAAAGAGGCTAATATCTAATAAGACTTGATGTTTCTGGCTGGCTGGCCAGGCGAGTGTCCCCTTCCTCCCTCACCGCTCCATGTGCGTCCCCCCCGAAGCCGCTCTCTTGGCCCAAGAGGACGACCTTTCCCGAATAGAGGAGGACTGTCTTTAGTCAAGGGTGTGAGAGTACCTGTGTTCCCATGCTAGAACCTTCAAGAAGCTCTCAGAATTGTGAGCCTTTCCACTCCCTGCCTAAGCTGTCCAGGCATTTTCATAAACAGTGTATAAAGAGCCCATGAGCAGCTTCAGCGGCTCTGTGACTCCTCGGTGTCCCAAAGCTCCCACAAGCCCCTGTTTTCTCTTCCTGCGTTCTCTACGGAAAATAGATGGCAACTGGCTCGGACAGTCTTCTTGGGCTGTGACTCTGTTCTCTACACATGTTGTCTGGTTAATCTTCTTCCTAAGCCATCACTCTCCCCTCTATTCTCCTTATAAATGACACCCCTAACTGTCCAGCCCACCGGCCCATCGCCAGAGAGGTGTGCCCTTTTCCCATCCCATTAAATCGAAAGCCAAGGCCAAGTGATGACAAGCAGATGTAAAGTCTAGTAAAGGGCTAAACTGAATTCTATGAGATAGTCAAGCAAATTAATTGGACCCAGGAAGTGTGGGGTGGTGGTGGTGGTGGTACTTATTTATAGTCAGATGTCACACACACAGCTAACAACCTGGCAACCTGGGGTCTGCAACTCGCATCTGAAGTGTGTGTATGTGTGTGTGTGTGTGTGTGTGTGTATGTGAGACAGTGTGTGTGTGTGTAAGTGTACTCTGTGCGTGAGTGTGTGCGTATGTGTGTATGGTGTGTGTGTGCATGTATGCATGTGCGTGTGGTGTGTATGTATGGTGTGTGTGTGTGGTGTGTATGTATGGTGTGTGTGTATGTATGGTGTGTGTGTGTGTATGTATGTATGATGTGTGTGTGTATGGTGTGTGTGTGGTCTCAGGGACTGGTCTGATTTACAGCACTTATTTACAGAGTGCTGTCTGATGCAGATCTGATTACTAACGTGTTGGTGCAAAGAAATCCCGGTACCATCATCACAGAAACATTGACTGTTGTGACAGTGGGGGAAGGCACTGGCCCACAAAGGGCTTTGTTTCTTTGTTTATTTTTGTTATTGCTTTTTTCTGGTTCATAATTATTTAAATGTGAAATCTGATTAAATAGGACCATCATTTTCTCCTAAGATGGTTCTGGCTACCAGGAATCTAGTCACCGTTCTATGGGGCTGCTCTGTTTGGCTGGGCATTCTGGGTACAAATCACCTCTCCAGGCTGAGGGACTGAGCGGGCACTAACACCTGCCTCAGCTGTGGCCACCAATCCACGCGAGCTGCATCACAGTTTCCTTTCTTTTTGCTTTTGGGTCACCTCCTTCATTTAGGAAATTTCAAAATATACAGAACTAAAGGTGATAATATAGCGAACCTGTGCAGCTAATTTGAATGCCTTTTTCTATTTCCTACAAAGCTGCCATCTATATCTGTGTCCTGGTAAGAAACAAATGGCATCTCAGAGGGGTGCTGAGGAGAATTCAATGGAAGGGCTTTTACAAATGTGCTTTAAGGGCCATTCAACGGGGAACCCCTAGAGACAAAGGAGAGATATGCTGCCAGAATGTACCAGAGTCAAAGCCAGGGCGCCCAAGGACACTGCGCCTAAGGGAGTTCTGACAGGGGTGAGCTGACAGAGGCTTCCTGACCTCTCTGGCTCCTCCTGGCTGATGCGAACTGAAAGCCAACTGGCTCGTAGAGGTAGCCTTCTAAGGCAGCAGCCAGAGCCAGGCTGGAGGGCAGAGCAGCTCTTAGGAGAGGGCAAAGGCTTCTTTTTTCAGTAGTGTGTTTTACTCAGGAACCAAGTGTTACAGCGTATTTGTATAGCGACTGGTTTACCTGTTTAAACTAGAGGTGTTCAGAATAAGCCGTATATTTTCACTCATTGTTTGAAGAAAACCGACTCCCCCACTTTTTAATTTAAAATTTGAAACAGGGTTGTTTTACATGTCAATCCCAGTTCCCTCACCTTCCCATCTCCCCTATCACCCCCACCAAACCCCAGCCTTTCTGCTCCCCAGGGAGGGTGAGGCCTTCCATGGGGAGTCTTCAAAGTCTGTCATATCATTTGGGGCAGGGCCTAGGCCCTCCCCCATGTGTCTAGGCTGAGAGAGTATCCCTCTGTGTGGAATGGGCTCCCAAAGTTCATTCATATACTAGGGATAAATACTGATCCACTACCAGAGGCCCCATAGACCGCCCAGTCCTCCTCACTGACACCCATATGCAGGCGAGAAAACTGACTTTTAAACAAAATAAAAGCAAAACTCAGAGTGGACAAGTTCTGAGATTGTCCCCCCAGTGTAACTTCTAACACACGGCATCGAATTGACGGCTACCCGCAGGGTACTGTGACTGCCAGGCTCCTGGGGTTCGATACTGTAATAGGTGACAAGCAGAAGCCATCGGCTGCTGACGTGGTTTGAGGGTCTGCAAGGTGACGGCCGGTGCGCGCTGCCCTGCATCCGGTGGCCTGGGGTGCCCAGGCCGAGTCGCAGGGGCTCTGCCTCTTTTGTGCCGTGCGCACTGCTTAGCTAGCCAAGTCCCATCTATCAGCAGCCTGCCACGATGTCTAACATGGGAATGCTGCCCCTGGGAGTCTGAACATCCAGCAACAACGAAAGACTGCCAGGCAAAGCCAGCATCTCACTGTGCCTGGCGATGCTCAGACACTTAACAAGGAGCCATGCACTGGAGCCCTCCAGAGCCGTTTCTCCTCTTGGTGTTCTCCAACGGTGACTTTAGAAATTTAAACAGATGAAAAATAAATAAAACAGGTTTTTTTTCCTTTGCCATGGTAGATACAGATACTGATACAATATCTGTAGAGGATCACCGTGTAGTTGGAAGGGGATGTGGAAATCCACTTGGGAACCGGGGTCTCAGGAATCTATAGGTTCATATCGTTCGTTGTGGTTTGATTTATGTAAATCACAAATTCTGTAAGAGCAGACCAATCACTGAACCCATCGGGCCCTTCCTCTGCTAAGCTTTAGCAGAGTCATTTGAGTGACAGCAGCTCATACGTTGTGGGGATACAGACCAAGAGTGTTGGCGCTGACAGCCCAGGTTGCAAGGCCGGATGCACGCGCACTGGGAACAGGGAGAACTTAGATTTGAGAACAAACCGGAGTGCCAATAATTGGTGCTGTGGTGTGGCAGGTGGGCGGTACCCAAGGACAGCCAACCGCTGCCTCATTTTGTTTGGATTCAGTTTGCGAGGACGTGGCGAGGGGCTACAGCTTTGACGGTGCTTCAGAAACCTCTTTCCTTCACATCCCATTTCATGGTGTTAGTGTAGTGTTCCTTGATTACCACCAAGCATGGCCGATGAGCGGGAAAGAGCCCCATGAGCAGCTGGAAGGCATTGGAGGAGTAACACATTCTACTTTGTGGGTGGGTGGGTGGGAACTACACATTGTGTGCCAGGAAACTCATTCGCACAGTCGAGAGCTTCTGTAACATCGGAAACGTTAACGCTTCTTACAGAAGTTTCTCAGCGGCTAACTACTGCACCTCCCATCCGCTCCTCAGAGCCGGGCTGAGGCTTTCCAGAGAGACCTGGTTGCTGCGTAAATGTGTGTGCTGGGAGGAAGAGCACCTCAACCTACCAGAATGCAGTATTGCACCTCAACCTATCAGAATGCAGTATTGCTTACCGGTACACGCGGGGTAGTAGTTGTTCTCATATTAGCAGCTTACATATGCAAGGAAAGGGACACACACACACACACACACACACACACACACACACACACACACACACCTTTGAGTTTGTGACGTATTCGCTAGTAAAAGTCTAAGCAGTGCGGGGCCAGGAAGCTAGAACCAAGCGGTAGCTACGGACGGGGTTTACTATGAATTCAAGCGGGAGCTGTCAGGGAAAACCAACAAAAAGAAGCAAGGTTTGATCTCGGCTCACTGTTTGAGTTTCTGTCCGTGCTTATCTGGGCCTGTCACTTGGGTCTGAGGTGAGGCAGAAGACCCGGGGAGGGGAACGCACAGCGGAGGGAAGGTGCTCATCTCACGACAGCCAGGAAGCAAGCGACAAAGTGACGGGCGACAGGACAGGGCGTATTCGTTAAGGGCGTCTCTGATGTCCTACTTTCTTCCAGCTAACCCCACCCTAGATCCATCATCTCTTGATGATAGCATTAAATTGGAAGATCAACCGGTGGATCCCTTGACTAGGTCAGAGGTCCCGTGACCCCATGGGCTCCTTGCAGCTTCACTGTAAGGCATTGCACGGGGAATGCACTTTCAACATGTTAGACTTTGGAGTGAACCGGTGGCGCTGGGTAGACCTGGGTGCCCAAGCGCTGGCC